GTTCCCCCAAAGGAGCATGGCCGGTGGTGCAGCGCCGCCAGAAATGTTTGACTGTTCTTTTGTGTAAAGCAGCCACAAACAGATCAACTATGAGAAGCCGGCAACAAGCACTATCCAGATTTTGACCAATACAAGACCCCTCGCTGGCGTCTTAACGGTCGTTACTGCTTTGTGTCTGTAGCCCGTAACTAATCTACATGTACCATGTCATCAAGGTCAGAGACCGTAAATACCATCAAGGTCCTCGTGCTTTGTCTATACTGTATACATACATGTAGTAGAAATTCAGCGAGGGTATTCTGACCCAAATAAAAGGGGAATAAACCCCGCTCTTTGGACAAAGACAAGCGATGACAACGATTGTAGGGAGTTTGGTGGCACACTAAAATTAATAAAACCGTAAATCTCAAATGCAAGCCTGCCGAAACATCACTCAATATATACGCGATCAAAAACTGTTCACGAAAGCCTACACAATTCCATGTCCACATTATCTTGAGTCGTGTACTCCGGGGAGCAATCCAGCGTACTGCTCAAGAGAATTGCGATTGGTTCATTGTCTTGCCATTAATCAAAATTTAGGTCTCGCCCTGCCTCTGTGACCCTGAGCTTGAGCGAGGTCAAAGTGACATAAGGGGCCTCTCGTGGCCTACAGGTTAAGGTGTTCGCCTCGCATTCAAAGGTCCCGGGTTCGAATCCGGGAAGCGACCGAAACATTTTCTTCTCAAAAATTGTTTCCTTTCACCTCCTTTCCTTTTCTCTAGCAATATTCTGTCGTCTATTTTCGTCTCCACTTTATTCCCCTACCCCCCCTCACCTCCTTTGCCCCCCTCCACTGGGCTCCTGGGTCTTTCTGTAGCCTTTGTACTGCTACTCCTTGGCTCCTTCTTACTGCTGTCTTTCAGCTACATCCCTGACCTGGTAGGAAAGATCTACACCTAGCCTTCTCGGACAAGGGCAAAAAATCTAAAGGTCCCGTGTGCAAGTTGCACACGTTAAAGATCCCATGGTGGTCTAAAATCGATAAGAGTAAGCTTCAGCCGCCACCGGGGTAAAAATTCAAAATTTCCTACCAGCTAAAAATGTTAGGTGTGTCCCCGGCGCTCATATGACCTTAATGCAGTTGCGAGCGCCGTAAAACACTTACCTTAAAAAAAAAAATTTTAAGGGGACATAAGTAGATCACCGTTAGTGGAGTCTTTGAATCTTTCGCTATGGTGTTACTACTTGAGTGTGTTCATCTCCAATGCACGATGAATAAAAATATATTTTTTTACCTAGCAAATAGATTTTGTTCTGGAAATCAAAGTGACAAAAAGAGAAGGGAAGTGAAAGAAATAGGTCGCCACCTACCGCGGAAACCGAGAATGTTTCCGAGTGTTCTCAGAGGGTCTGCTGGGGTAATAATAGTTGTAAAACGCATAGACTATTCTCTGGAGCATGGATATGCGCTATATCAATGCAATTACTATTATTATTTTTATTATTATTATTATTATTATTATTATTATTATCATCATCATCATCATCATCATTATTATTATCATTATTATTATTATTATTATTATTATTATTATTGTCATTATCATTATTATTATTATTATTATTATTATCATTATTATTATTATTATAAAAGATATTAGAATTGTACAGAAAGTGAACGAATTAGGTCCTCACCGACCAAAAGAGATTAGAATTAAGTTATAAATTATATCTTTTACTGTGCACTTCATTATCTTCAATATGCAATAGCGTGAGATTAGAATTAAGTTATAAATTATATCTTTTACTGTGCGCTTCATTATCTTCAATATGCGATTGCGTAATTGTGTACGCCCACTTTTTCAACCCAAGAGCCGCCCCTGCTCTTTTTGCTTTGTTGTTTTTTTATTATCTTGAGCTTCTTTTGGCATGTTGTTATCTTATAGCATCCGATCCATTTTATGTCGTGTGGTCGTTAGGATTTTAAAAATAATAATTTTTGTACTGTTCTTCTGATCGATTTCTGGGGAGCTCGGTTGCTCCATCTTGGTTTCCTTTCTCCGACCAAAGAGTAATGGTTCTTCAATAATGATAAGTTATAGGTTGTTGTTGTTGTTGTTGTTGTTGTTGTTGTTGTTGTTGTTGTTGTTGTCTGGGGGGAAGGGGGTTGTTCGGG